GTATTTCACCGTCACCTACAAAGCTTGTACTACAAACTTTATTAAAGTTTCTCATATGCGTTCTATAGCATTTTCGTTCAATAGAAATTTGTTTAGAACACCAAGTGATACAACGCGACATGCAATGTAACATCCGTTTCGTGTTTTCCGACGAACTTTTCAAGTTATGTATATTGCTTTACACTCTATAATTCATACATGTACACATAAGTATGATGCTCATGCAGTGTTTTAGCAAAAAGTTATACAGTGTAACACCGAGGGTGTTACAACAGCCATATTATCATCACTCCTAGCATGCTAGTCACCTCGAACCTGCTCCAGAAATCATAACTATTACTCTTGTTATGAAATAGTTGAATGTTGCTAGAAGCCATAACTAAATAAGTACAGAACAAATCAGGCAAGAAGCCAGAAGTAAGCATATTTCATTCATATACTCACTTCACTATCAGGTAATGTTTCCAGATCAGCAACTTTGGGATGCTCTGACGGTCTTGTTTCTTCAGAAAATGTTAGTTAGTGTGAGTAAACAAGATAATTGTCCAATACTGCATATAAGAGTGTAATGGACAACATATTGCAAATCTAGAGATGCATATGGGCCAACGATGCGCTTACCAGAAGACACGATAGGAAGGACCATGAGGTGTACACCAGCAGACCTAATAATTTCTGTAAAAAAAACAAGTCAGTAGTAAGCATGATGCATGCAAAACACAAAAAGATCAGTAAAAACCAACACTAGAATAGACTATAAGGATGCATCCGATGGCAAACTTAAAAACAACATCTGAGGCGCAAATGTCACTATGTCAGGGCGAGGCAAGCAAAACCATGTTGAACTGTACTCATTCAGATTAACTTCATAATTGAAAATGAAGCTAAAAATTGTGTTGCTGGTAGAAACACATCGTTATCCAATTTTCTAGAATCTGACCTAACACTGATGGTAGGAAAGAGAATGGAACATAAATGCTTAAACCGGAAACATATAGAGACGAAAAAGGCCTATTAAGATAAGTCTATTTCAAGTGTACATGCTCGCATCAATGATCAGGAGAAAAAGGCCCTGTGAAAAATGAAGTCACAGTCTACCTGATCTAGGACATAATCGTGTCAAAGAATAGCGGGAAATTGTAGATCTGCACTCATAAAGCTAGGAGCATGCAAGTGCCTGAAAACTTCTCTAGGCAGCCCCAGAACGTACTCACCAGCGGGCAGCGATGGATCGGAACCTGCACGAAGTCGACTGCAGCATCGCAGGCCCTGCAGCCGGCACAGAATATGTATGAGTAGTACGAGAAAAGAAACAGAAGACCCACCTACTTTAATTTACCTGCATTCGGCACCTGCGAATGAAGCTCGCCGGCCAAGAACACGAATCCAAGCCGTGTCTTCTCTAGATCCAGCCACGCCTTCCCCCCATCCGTCACCTCAGGGTCCGTCCAGTGGCCGTGTAGCCATGGCCGGCGTTGCCATGGCCTTCTATGGATCTGGCCACAACCCATAACCTCCACGACAGATCTTAAGGTTTTGATACTGGATGCCCACCTCGGAGCCCTCCACCTCCACGGGAGCTACCGCGCCCCCATCGAGGCCGGTGAAGCCAGCGCCAACCAGGAATGCCTCGGTGAGCACAAGCAGCGACGCGGCCATCGCGACGGCGAGCGCACGGCTCGACCTGGGTGGAGGAGACCGCACGGCTGTGGCGAGCGCCCGCAGTGCCGTGGCCTCGGGCAGTGACTGCACGGCACGCGCTTGGGAGGGTACCAGAAATTTTACCGTGAAATTTTACTAAGATATCAGGTTATTATACTAAGATATGAGAAATTTTACAATTGTTGAAAAAAAAATATGGACCATCCATCCAAAGAAATCAAACAGTGAAAAAACAGGAGGTACCAAAGTAAAAATACTTAGAAGTACCAGAAAGGTGGGGATAATACTAAAATAGGTGGGGATAGTACCAAAATATATGGGATCAAATTTTAATTTTTATTAATTAATTAAATTCCATAAAGGATCCATGAGGGGTATTGCTGTAATCTCACATTAGTTGTCTCCTCCGTCATGCGTTGACGATGAGAGCGGCGGCAGCCGCACCCAGAAGCAGCCCGTGCCGCCGGCCGCCTGTTGGGTGGACGACATCTGCATGCTAAGGATCGATGAATCGATCAGTTCGTGCGCGTCGTCACCGCCGTCCAGGCCAAAGGCATGCAGCCCGACCTCATCAACCAGGAGAGTCCTGCGTCGTGTGGCGGCATGTGCTTGGTGCTCCACATGGTCATTGCCGGCGAGGGCGATAACATGCAGACGGAAACGGCTAGTGAGCAGCGGATGGTCGTTGAGAGCCTGATCAGCATCATCCCCGCAAAAGGATTGCGTCTCGTGCAGCTTGGCTGCTCCGCCTGGCCGTCGTCCTCAAGGTGTCATCGAGTTGTACCTGAAGGGGCGACAGAGCATGAGCGGAAGCGGCTGTGATGGGCACTGGACTGCGGAAAGCTGTCGCGGGAGGTGCGCACGCACGCGGCGCAGAACGAACGGCCGGCTGCCGCTCCGCGTCGTGATGCAGGTGCTACTGTCAGAGCAGGCAAAGATGCCCGACGCCCCACAGGAACATTTGCGTACATTTGCTGTCAGCCCTTGGATCTGATCTGAATGGAAGCGTGCAATATATTTCTCAATTACTAAAATACCCACTATAATATATTTCTCAATTAATTACTTAAATAAAAAATAGAAAAAGATGAAAGTAGCTGGAGGCACATGGTCCTTTTCCAAACATCAGAAAAGATCTCCTAAGGTCTTGTTTAGATTGGGGTTAGGAATCAGTATTTGGCACTGTAACATTTTCGTTTGTATTTAACAATTATTGTTCAATCATAGCCTAACTAGGCTCAAAAGATTCATCTCGTAATTTACAATCAAACTGTATAATTAGTTATTTTTTATTTACATTTAATACTCCATGTATATATCAAAGATTTAATATAATAGAGAGAGTGAAAAAACTTGTAATCTAAACGAGGCCTAAGATATTGTTGAGGACCCTGGAGTTGGCTCTTAATCCGTGCCAAAGGGCCACCGCGCGCACTTCTTCCGGGTCAAAGAAAAACTACGAAACGACAAAATGAAAGACTTTTTTCATGTTAATGGCGACACATGACAATATGACATGTTACAATCGGCTGGAGTGCTTCGCAGCGGTCACAATCAGTGGTCACAAGGAACAGTTCATTTGCCTGCAGGTTGCAGGAGCAGGACAAGGTCTTGAGCTATGACATTGCTATGTTCGTTTAGCTGATAAGCCACGGTTAAAAATACTATTAACTGATTTATTATAAGAAAAAAAAATACTATTCATCGACTGAAAAGTACTACTCGTAAGGCAATCGAAATATCATTTCGGATGCAGCTCGTTCAGCTATCATTGAGAGGGTCAAGACAGCTCATTGTGAGTCTTCTCATGGATTGACAACACCAAGTCACCAAACTGTCCCAACGTCTCGACTCTTGAGTAATCGAGCCATCACAATCGGAATGCCATTTCTGAATTCTGATGCAACTCGTTGAGATATCATTAAGATTTAGGGGGTGTCTGATGCAGGGACTAAAATTTAAGAGGTGTCATATTAGATGTCACGTGGGGTGTTCGAATACCAATAAAAAAATAAATTACAGAAGTCCTCAGTAATCCACGAGACGAATTTATTAAACATAATTAATCTGTTATCAGTACATGTTACTGTAGCACAACATTGTCAAATTATAGGCTCATTAGGCTTAATAAATTCGTCTCGCAAATTAGTCTCAATCTGTGTATTTAGTTTCATAAATAATCTATATTTAATATTCTATGTATGTATCAAACATCTAATGGGACATCGACTAAAGTTGAGGAGGTCCAAACGCCCTTAAGCTGCTTACCTTGAGGTCCGGAATTTACCCATGGATTGACAGCACCAAGTCACCAAACTGTCGTGATAGTGACGCGCAAATGGCTAAACAGTGTTCGTTTCAAGAAAAAAAGGCTGAACAGTAGTTTCCTTTCTTGACAGCACCAAGTCACCAAACTGTGCCGAGGAACTGGCAGGTTGGGCTGGGCCTTGGATGGTATCGAGAGTGACGCTGTAACGAAAAAACCCGCAGTAACTAATACTAACACGTTCCACTAAAAAAAACCAATACTAATACGTCCGCACTATAATAACTGTACTAATACGCGCGCCCTGACTTTGCATTGGTTCAGTTAATCAGTGTTTGACAAAGTAAAACATCCGGTCTTCGGAGTTTACACATGGACATATCAGAGCTTTTAAATTTTATATATAAAGTTTCAGGCATTAGGCAGAGTCAGATATTATCACATATACATGATGTATAAGAGGAAGACAAACCTGCTACATAATGAAAGAAAAAGGTCATCACAGTTACAAAGAGACCCTTAAAATGCGTATAATAGGTTGGCTTCATGTGTTTTTAACCATGACATGGGAGGGTAATAGAGAAGTAGGTTAAGGGTGTTTTTTGGGTTAAATTTTTATGTAATGGCAGTGGTGGGTATTTATCAATATGTATAGTTTTTCTTTCTTCGATTAATGTGTTAGTTTGTAGCCTCGTGAGATGTAACAAATAGCCGGCTATAGCTGCCGCTATAACCAGCTATATTGTTACATTGAATTTAGCTCCTTTAGCCCGCTATAACCTTTTTAGCCTTAGAAGAACCTTGCCGCTAACTGCCTATAGCCCGCTATTTTAAACAATGAAACTAACACAAAGATTTCTTTTGTTGACGAAAACTAATCAATAAGATAATAGTAGCATATAGATTGGTAGACTTTTACAAGTGGGAACGTGCGTGGCCAGATTTCCTAAAAAAAAGAACTCCCCAAAAATAAAGGAGAATTATTTGCCACGCTGACTGTGATGGTCGCCAGACGGTCTCGCCAGCAGATCCGATCAAATTATTTGCAGGCTCCCGGGCTTAATTGCCATGTTCAGATGGCAGCTTCGCCTTCTTCCGACTTTGCTATTGTTTCTTCAATCGAAGTCTTTGATGGGAGCACGCAGTTTCCGTACTCTGTAGTAAAGACAGCCGAACAGACAACACTGTGAGATTGAGATTACATGCAGTAGCTACGGCGAGAGGAAATGACTGACTGAAAGTGTGAACTCACTTGGTGCTTGGTAGACGACGGAGGCGGCGCCGGCGAAGTCGCACGTCCCGCTTGCCCGATGATTGTGCTGGTAGTAGCTGTTGAACGCGTATGAGGCATGGGCGACCATGGTGTTGGGCTCGAAGCACGGCGCTCCCGGCTGGATGGCGCTGCAGTCCGCGCCGTTGGCACAGGCATAGCTCAACCCATCCAGGAGCCGCGCGTCCCCGACCGCCGCGTTCGCCACGCACCAGCTCGCGTTCGGGTCGCAGGTGCCTTCAGTTTCAGTTCACAACACCAGGTGATCAGATGATGACCGGATCAGCATTATTTGCACGTTTGCAATCTGCATGATCGACAAATAAGACCTGAAAGCAGCAGCGAGTGACAACTCTCGACTCACCAGCTGGTTCTTGGTAGACGATGTAAGCGGCGCCGTTGAAGTCGCACGTCCCATTGGCGCGGCCGTTCCGCTGGTAGTAGCTGTTGAACGCGTACGAGGCGTGCGCGAGCCTGGTGTCCGGCTCGAAGCACACCGCGCCGGGCTGGATGGCGCCGCAGTCGGCGCCGTGTCCGCACGCGTACTCGAGCGCCGCCTGCAGCCACGAGTCCCCGACCGACGCGTTCGCCACGCACCAGCTCTCCGCCGCCGGCGCCGGCGGCGGGCTGCCGCCGCCGCGGAAGTCGAACTCGTACACCTTCTGCATGTTGGGGTAGAAGAGGCCGAAGTTGGCCTCGATGTCGTCAGGCCCGGAACCCTTACCGTTCTCGTTGAACAGGGCGAAGATGTACACGTCCATGTCGGCGTCGGGGCGGAGCGGGGTGCCCGTCCTGCCGGACAGCACGCGGTTGATGACGTTGTTGTTGTACGCCTGCGCGTTGGCTTTCGACGCCGCCGGCGGGTCTACTCCATCCCCGTCCCCGACCGCCAGCTCCCAAGGCGCGTGTGGTTTGTGTGGAGAGCCAGGTTTCGGTCGTCCGGCAGACGGTGACCCGGTCTCCCCTTGAACTGCTTGAAGACTGGTGAACCCCAGCTTATCCATGGCAGCGAACGTGGCGTCGCGCTGAGCGTCCAGGAGGCTGTAATACATGAGGCCGGTGTCCTGGTCCAGCACGCCGGGGTTGGGGTTCCCCAGGAAGTAGTCGCGGGAGATCTTGTCCGGCTGAGCGGCGTAGGCGAAGTAGGGGTAGAGGTTGATGGTGAGGTAGGAGCCGGTCCGCTGCAGGAACTCGAGCATGGGCCTCATCACCGGCTGCGCGATGTCGTCCCGGAACCTGCCCCTGGACGGCGGGAACGAGTCGGTCACCGCGGCGAAGGACAGCGGCGTGGACACCTTGATGGCGTCAGCGAGTCCCAGCTGCGCCAGCGCGGCCTGCACGTTGGTCATGGCGGGGACGAGCAGCGGCGTCAGGTCCGGCCTCGAGTCGAACACCTCGTTGCCCACGGAGACGGCATGGATCCGCGTGGCGGGGAGGTACGCCGCCACGCTGCGCCGCGCCCAGTCGGCCGCGTACGACGGGCTCCGCGCGGCGTCGGCCAGGTTCTCGTTGGGCAGCATCAACGTGAGCTTGATGCCGGTGTTGGCGAACGACCTCAGCACCGCGTCGTTGGTGTCGTATATCCGCACCATGGTGATGCCGTTCTCCCTGAGCAGCTGCACCACCGCCGCCGGGTCCGGCAGGTCGTTCGCCACCCTGCCGTAGTTCACGCCCACCTCGCGCGCCTCTGAAAGCAGCAGCAGTTAGCAGAACATATCATTGCGAACTGCGAATACCTGCAGCTGCAACTCGATCGCCACCATTTTCAGAACAGCAATAATGCATCTATGTGTTTACCTGCAGTGAGGCACAAGAGCAGAGGCAATGTGGCGGCGCCGAGGAGGAGAACGAGGCGGCAGGTGAGCGCCATGCTCGATCTCCCGTAGTACCGAGAGCGAGAGAGGCAGACAGAGCAAGACGGAAAGACGAAGCGAGTGAGGAACCTGCCTAAAGGCCTGCGTACGGCAGTATTATTGTTGTCAGTTGGCCAGTTGGCTTCATCTGCTGATCTGAAGATTTTTTAGAACAAGCTGATCTGAAGATATAGAGATAATGAAGAAAACAAAGTCATAGTTGGCTTGTAATAAGGACTGCAGCAGGAGGAAGGTGCTGGTTTCCACTTTACAGCGAGGCGTTACTGACACCCAATTGGCTGGTCGATCGGAGCAAGCAGGTTGTGGCGTCAAGTCGTCGTTAACCTGCTTCTCAGCTTGGCAAGTCGATTCCCCACTTGGATACGAGGAAAATCGCAAAATATTTTGGTGCATGCACCGAACAGATCAGCTGAGTCAGCTCAGAGCGATCTGGTCTAGGTACCTTGAATTTTTCATCTTGAGCTAACAGGTGGGTCGAAGAGGTATGGAGAGGATAGCTCAGCTAGATTGATTGCTATAAAAGTGTTCTGATGAACAATCCGTCAGAGCGTCAAACGGTTCGGCAGAACATGAATTTTGAGAACTTTGGATTTAAGGAAGAGATTGAAATCGGGGTGCTAACACAACTCATAAAGATTGTATGAACCATTTGAGGTTCAGAAATCACCTGGATGAAAAATCTTGAGATTTGGCCGAGTCAAATAATCGGTTTGACTAGAGTTAATTAGGTTTGGCTTGGTTTGACCGGAGATGTTACGTCAAACGGTCCGGCAGAACATGAATTTTGAGAACTTTGGATTTAAGAAAGAGATTGAAATCGGGGTGCTAACACAACTCATAAAGATTGTATGAACCATTTGAGGTTCAGAAATCACCTGGATGAAAAATCTTGAGATTTGGCCGAGTCAAATAATCGGTTTGACTAGAGTTAATTAGGCTTGGTTTGACCGGGGATGTTACGAAGGTTACTAGCTTGATTGGGGTCCTTTCCCATTGTGAGTTGAGATCCGAGGGCTTCCACTAGTTTGGTGAGATCATCCATCGCAGGAGGAGGACTAGAAAGGTTATGGCCCTGTGGTGACTCATGACCAAACGTGTTGCAGTGTGTAGCAGGGGTTTGAGTAGGAGTCCAAGGGAGGTGTTAGGTAGGGTTTCGAGCTTAAGATTTTTTTTGAAAGTTTTAATTGGAACAACCATTAGGTCGTGACCGTGACAATAATAATTAGTGGTATAATGGTCGTTTTTAACTTCTCTCTCATGCACCCTTAGAAAATATTATTTTAATAGCCACAATGTCTAAGAGCCAATTGCCACAATTAAAAAGTCTTCTAGCAAATACAATATTGAACATTGTTAATCAGCAAATAATAATAATGAACAGTATTCAACAAATTTAGCCTATTAGAAAAGAGATGGAGCAGCAGCAATGGGTGGCTGAGGCTGAGAAACCCCCTTAGAAAAATGCCAACGGCTCATCTCTTGCCAACAAAACAAAAGTATTATAGCTCTCTCTCACTCTCTAGTAGAAAACTTGATGTTTTCTAAGATTCAAAATGTTCTTAAAAAAACTTTAAAGTTTGAGCTATTGGACAATAGATTTGGTTATATCAGTTTGAGATTGCGGTAATGCATGCCTCCATACATTCCTTTTAATAAAGGGGCATATTCCTTATCATAGTTTACCTTCAATAAGGGGGTGTTTAGTTGTCCCTCCTAAATTTTAGTCGCTGTCCCGTCGGATGTTTGGACACATGCATGGAGTATTAAATATAGACTAATTACAAAACTAATTGCATAGTTTGCGACTAATTTGTGAGACGCATCTTTGAAGCCTAATTAGTCCATGGTTTGATAATGTTTCGTTACGGTAAACATGTGCTAATGACGGATTAATTAGGCTTAAAAAAATTCGTCTCGTGGAGTACTGACGGATTATATAATTTATTTTTTTAATAGTATCCAAACATCCATGCAACATTCTCCCGACACACTCCTAAATTTTAGTAGCCGGATCAAACACCCCCTAAATAGGTTTATATGGGTGTATAAAGGGGCATATTCCTTATCATCGCAGAAGGACAATGACGAGCGACTCTTAAAAAATGCTGGTAAATGGAAGGGAAAGACACGTTTTCACTGTTTTCACACTTCCGTTTCCATCAGCTACCACAGTCAGAGTGGCAGCGACCGCTTTCTGTGTCATACTCTGACTCTCACGGATCAATGCATAAGCGGGTTCGGCCATCCATAAGCGGATTAAGGCCGACCTGCTGCCTAAAGGATGAATAAGTCTTATATTTTAAATATTATTGTTGAAGATAGCCTAACAGCAGAAAAAGACACCATCTAACAGCGGCGGCACCGAAGTTGGATGCTGCGTGTCCCACCTATTTCCTTCCTCACCCCTCCCCCCCTCTTCCCTCACCCCGGCTCAGTTCGTTTCGCTGAAATTTTGCTGATGCTTATACTGATTTGTTGTGAGAGACAAAATACTGTTCATTCGTTGAACAGTACTGCTGAAGTAGTTCAAGCGAACAGGTGGTCGCCACTGTCATTTCTCATGGCTCCATGGTCATCTTTGGACAGAACACCATCATCATATCAGTAGTGGCAGGATCCGGCCTCCTTTGGCATGGTTTCATTGTCCCCGTCCTCTCTGCCCCACCCATCTCCCTCTTTGTCGTCGTTGCCTCCTATGACTTTGATCCTTGGGCTCATGACCTAGGCAGTCGTGGTGCCATGTGTTGTCGAATTCGACCTTCATTAATATAATTTTTTAGGCAAAAAGGAAAAATAAACTACCCTAAGTTACTACTCTCTTTTTATTCCAAATTGTAAGTCATTTTATTTTTTAGATCCATAGATATTTTTTTGAAGGAACTGAAGGGATGGACGCTACGACAGCGGCGAGGGCCAAGCCCGAGCCCCGACCTACCGGGGCCTCAGGCCTTTGGCCGGCACATCCTCAATGCGCCTTTCCCGCCACGATACTGGCCACCGAGCAACATCCCAAAGTTCTCCGGGGAAACAAACCCTGGGCTGTTGCTCGAGGACTATCGGCTTGCTTGCTAGGCTGGCGGCGCGAATAACTGAAAGCTTTAGTTTGGTTTTGGTTAATTGATGAAACCCTAAGTGCTAACCTAGTTTATCAAAGTGATTATGAGATAGGTAGCACTATTCCAAGTGGTGAAGCAAATGAAGATCATGACATGATGATGGTGATGATCAAGTGCTTGAACTTGAAAAGAAGAAAGAGAAAAACAAAAGGCTCAAGGCAAAGGTATAAATTGTATGAGCCATTTTGTTTTAGTGATCGAGACACTTAGTGAATGTGATCACATTTAGGATCGATAGCCGTACTATTAAGAGGGGTGAAACTCGTATTGAAATGCGGTTATCAAAGTGCCACTAGATGCTCTAACTCATTGCATGTGCATTTAGGATCTAGTGAAGTGCTAACATCCTTGAAAATGTTTATGAAAATATGCTAACACATACGCATAAGGTGATACACTTGGTGGTTGGCACATTTGAGCATGGGTTAGGAACTTCACCGGCAGAGTATCCGCCCGTAGAGTGCGGATAGTCCGACGGTACCACCGACGCCCTATACAGAAAAGATAGGGTTTCACAGAATGCACCGGACACTGGTCATGCTGTGACCAGACGCTGGGGTCCTGCGTCCGGTCAGTAGCAGCAGTGAGCGTGCGGTCTCAGTCCTGTGACCGGATGCTGGCGCGAAGAGAGACCGGACACTCAGGGCCTACGTCCGGTCAATGCTGACATACGCTGACGTGGCGGCGCACAGAGGAGACAGTGTGTGACCGGATGCTAGGTGTATCCGGTCGGTGGTGACCGGACGCGTCCGGTCGTGACTGGTACCTTACTAGAAATGACCGGACACTGGGGTCCTGCGTCCGGTCACTTCGAAGCAGCGCGTCCGGTCATAACTTAAATGTACTGATGACCGTTGAGATCGGGCGATCAGTGTTTGAAGTAGGGGACATGTGGCACACATCGCGCGACTAGACGCTGGGGTCCAGCGTTCGGTCGATCTGACCTACGTGTCCGGTCGTCCCGTTTTTCAGTGGACTGAGGAGCCAACGGCTCTATTTCGTGGGGGCTTCTATTTAAGCCCCATGGCCGGCTCAAGCTCACTCTCTTGTCCATTTGCATTGACATAGCAACCTTGTGAGCTTAGCCAAAGCCATCCCACTCATCTCCATCATTGATCCATCATCATTGTGAGATTGGAAGAGAATCCAAGTGCATTGCTTGAGTGATTGCATCTAGAGGCACTTGGCATTCATATTTTGCTGCGGGATTCACTTGTTTCTATTGGTGGTTGCCGCCACCTAGACGGCTTGGAGCAGCGAGGATCGTTGAGCAGAGGTTGGTGATTGTCTCCGGCTCCGATTGTGGTGATTGTGAGGGGTCTCGTGCCTTCCCCGGCGGAGCGGCAAAAGGTAACTCTAGTGGATTGCTCATGTCATTGAGTTACCTCACTTGTGGATTGGTTCTTGCGGTGTCCAATTGTGTGGACGAGGTTCGCGCAACACCTCTTAGCCGCCGAATCACCAAGTGTTTGTCGACACAACGGGGACTAGCGTGCTGGCAAGCACGTGAACCTCGGGAGAAAATTTAGTTGTCTCTTGCCCTTTTGTATTCTCCCGGTGATTGATTTAGTATTCATTTTGTGATTGGTTCACTCCTCGACACGGCGGTATAATCACCCTACTCACTCATTTATATTCTTGCAAACTAGTTGTAGCAAGCTCTTTAGTGTAATTAGAATTGAGAGCTTGCTTTATTATTTTAAGTTCATCTAGTGGAGCTCTTTAGTGTAGCAAGTGTGAGAGCTCTTAGTGAGTAGTGACATAGAAAATTGTGTGTCTAGAGATCATAGCAACTAGAATTATTGGGTAGGTGGCTTGCAACCCTTGTAGAGCTAGAGCAAGTTTGCATTTCACTTTTTGTTATACTAATCAAATTGCTC